ATAAAAAAATGTTAATATTAAATAAAATTTAAGATGAAACAAACTTTTATATTTATAAAGCATATTTTCTTTATTCTTAAATAAAAATATTTTAAATAGACAATTTTATGTTATAAATATTTAAATGTTATAAAAATGTTTTTTAACATAAAATATCTAAACCAATTATAAAAAAATTAAAATTTAACTTTATTTATCAATCTCAATAACATCAATTTCTTCATTCCATTGTTTAACTATTGAATTATTAAACTTACAAAATGATTTTATAAAAATTACAAACGGATCAGCTTTCTTATATCTATAACAGAAATAGAAGAAAGAGATATAACTTTGTAATAATTCTAATACACTTCTATTTCTATTTCTCACAATAGACAATTTAGTTTTTCCTATAAACACACAATTAGTTGAGTATGGTATTGGGTTATCGGGTCAATAAAAAACTTCGAATGATTCACTGTAAACCGTTCCTTGAAGTTTTAATTTACCTTACCAAAAGCCCTTCAGCAGTCTGTACGAATAATTATGTGGGTGTGTACACGCTCTTTTTTTACATCTTTTTTATTAACAAGAGGCATGTAAACATTAATAGTTTTATTACCAGTAAACCTGAACATTCAAATGTTTTAAACTCTGTCATTATAATCATTTCTTTTGCTAAGATTTGAGTTCAATTTTAAAAAATTTTAAATAGAACTCTTTCAACGTTATTCTTTTGATGACTATCAAATAATAATTCATTAATTTGAATTATATACCCTATTTGTTTAGATGTGATAACATAATGAGTTACTTCTCTAACATAATTAGTCCAGTTGACAATTGTCTCATCTCCTGTTATTCCTGAATTCAGTTTCATCTCACGATGTGGCTGATCTTTAAAATAACAAAAGATAAACTTAACTATCTTTTTAACTGGTATTGCAATCCTGCTTTTATCCTTCTTTTCATAAGAAAAGAAGGCATTTTTAAAAAGAGACAACTCTTTATTACAGGATCTGTAACGGAGGAGAAAGCTATCACAATACTTCTTTTTTCCCGTCCTTGAGACTGTGGGTTTTCTACAATATATACATTACTACTTATTTTTTTGTAATAGCACACCCATTCTACCATAATAGTTAAAAAAGCATCGTTTTTAATAAGAATTTTTATTAATTCTTCGAAATTCATAAGTTAAAAAATGTGATTTTTGTAAATATTTTTCAAGTTGTAAATTG